GGATGTTCCTCTAAATGTATTATGTCTCAACTTTTGGAATTCTTTTTTATGTAGAAACAACAAATTTTTTATGTGTTGGGTTTGTATTCTCCAGTGTTGTAAATTTTTTTAGTTTACACAGGTTTCTTTTTATTTTTTTTAAAGATCTTATTTATTTATTTATTTATTTATTTATTTATTTTATCAGTAGGGAAGCAGGCTCCCTACTGAGCAGAGAGCCAGATGTGGTGCTCAATCCCAGGACCCTGGGATCATGACCGAGCCAAAGGCAGAGGCTTTACCCCACTAAGCCACCCAAGCCTCTTTTCACAGGTTTCTAACAACAAGAATTTCCAGGAGAGGAAAATGGCCTTGGAATAGGAGGACGCTAGACTCATCACATCTCAGGAACACAACTAGATAAGTACCAAATCACCCTCAGTACTCCAGAAATGGCCATGAAGACTGACAGATCATACTCCCCAAGTTAAAGGAGAGAAGAGGCCACATCATAGATGGCAGAAAGTTTGGAGACATGGTTGAGGGTGGGAAGAATTACAGTGCTATGGAAGGCAGGGATCCCTGGTTGTGGAGAAAGTGGCATGACAGAGGGATCGCACAAGGAGAATGTTTCTCCAAAGCCCCTGGCTTGGAAAACAAGAGGGGCTGAATTTCATGAGTTCTTGGAACTAGCAGGTCTTAAAGCCTAGAGTTTTAAAGGTCAGCAGGCTTGGCTGGGATAGAGCCAAGAAGGTGCTGTGCTACTCCTGGAGAGAAGGAAGGCAAGCAACCTGGGTACAGACAACCTGCAAACAGTGATCAGAAGAATGACTGGGGGACACAGTGGGAAGATTATTCACTAGTCTAGGAGTGTTTCCCTGTGAGGAAACATTCAGTGGGGTATGTGTCTAAGAACACAGGAGTTAGATGGCACCATTTCCCTTTCCTGTCCTGTAGCATAATCTCAGAGCAGTGTCCCAGTGTCCCAGTGTCCCAGTGTCCTCGTCAGTGAGGACATTGGCTGTCTGGCCTGCTTCCTAAGCCCCAGGCCCCTGTGCTGTGGTTGGACTGACCATCTCAGTCTAGCTTACCTCAGGCCCAGAAAGGTGGGCCCCTGCCCACACCACATCTCCTGAGCAGAGCAGAGAGTTCTGCACAACCTCCGTTCTGGTGGAGGTGATATCAGGTCTCATTTCACAAGCAGACCAGAGCTCACCTAGTTAAAACTGACCACATTCAGACCTGGGAGCAAATATTGTCTACAGAAGGCAAGGAGAGCCTCTGCCTCAGACCACTGACTAGAAGGATATAGCAGGACACATCACTGGCTTTTCTAACACAGAGAGGAAGGCAGACTTAGACAAAATGCCATGATGGAAGAATTTATCCTAAAAGAAACAAAAAAAATACGACCATGGCCAGAGATCTAAGGGAAGCAGTTATCAGTAACATACGCAATGGAGAATTAAAGGCAACAATCATAGGGATACTCACAGGTTTGAGAAAAAAGTGTGGAGAACTTTACCACAGAGACAAGAGTTAAAAGGGAAAAAAATGGAGCGCACAGGTATCTCAATTATATCTGATTCTTGGTTTAAGCTTAGGTAGTGATTTCAGGATCCTAGGATCCAGCCCCAGGTCAGTGTCGACATTCAGTGTGCTGTCTACTTGATATTCTCCCTCTCCCTCTGTAGCTCCCACTCATGCTCTTTCTCTCTCTTTGTATTTCTCTCAAATAAATAAATTTTTTAAAAAGATTTTATTTATTCATTTGACAGAGATCACAAGTAGGCAGAGAGGCAGGAAGAGAGAGAGGGGGAAGCAGGCTCCCCACTGAGCAGAGAGCCCAATGCGGGGCTCCCTCCCAAGACTGTGGGATCATGACCTGAGCTGAAGGCAGAGGTTTTAATGCACTTAGCCACCCAGGCACCCCTCAAATAAATAAATTTTTAAAAATCAATGAGATTAACAATGCAATAAATGAGATTGAAAAGAGGATTGATGCAATAAACAGCCAGCTGGAGGAAACAGAGGAAGGACTTTCTGACCTCAAGGACACAAAAAAGGAAAATAATGAATCTGAGCAAAAGAGAGAAGAATCTTCTAGCACAAATTTGATTTTGTGAATTCAGTGACTGCATCAAATGTTGTAACATTCCTAGGTCTTGGGCTTTTCTGTGCTGGGAGAGTTTTGTTTCCAAATATAACTTAACTTCCTGTTTCTGGTGTAAGATGAGTTCCCATTTATTTGGTAGAGGGTAGATAATTCAGTCTTAGTGACTTGTGCAATTTTTGGAATTATCTATTGTTGTTACTGTTTTTATTCCTACGTTATCCGAATTGGTAGTTTATAAATGCTGACCAAGTTAAAGCACAGCCAATTTTATTATTTTGGGTAAACTGGGCATTACATTCAGTGTTCTGTTACAATTCTGGTCCCCATTTTATTTATTTCAGATTTATCTTTGTTACTTATTGTACTACTACATTTCATTTCAGTTTTTTCCTTTCCTAGTTTCTCGTGGAAAGTTAAGTTTTTTATTCCAGTTCTCTCTCTCTCTCTTTTTTTAAAGATTTTATTTATTTGACAGACAGAGATCACAAGTAGGTAGAGAGGCAGGCAGAGACAGGAGAGGAGGAAGCAGACTCCCTGCCAAACAGAGAGCCCAATGTGTGACTCGATCCCAGGACCCTGAGATCATGACCTGAGCTGGAGGCAGAGGCTTAACCCACGGAGCCACCCAGGCACCCTTCCAGCTCTTTTTTTTTTTTTAAACTCAGCCATGTATTGCATAAAAAAAATTTGAAAATGGAAAGTGTTGTAGACAATGTTTAGCAGAAATAAACAAACAATAGAAAAACATGGAAAAATTAAATTAGGATTCTTTAGGGTCTTTTATAGATCATGTCATCTGTGACCACAGATAATTTTACTTTTTCTTTTTTTAGTTTGGATTCTTTTTATGTGTTTTTTCTTCCCCAGTTCTGACTAGAATGTCCAGTACCATGTTGAAAGACAGTGGTGAGGTTACTTCATTACCTCATTTCTGATCATATAGGAGAAGCTTACAGTCTTTACCTATTGAGTGTTGGATTTTTTTCTATTTGGTTCATTTCAGTTTTATGTTTAAATAACCATCCTTCTAATTTTATGCTCACGTGGCACTTTTCCAGATTATATGAGATGCAGGAAGGGATTTGTGCTAGAACATGACAGTATCACAGAATTATCTATTAGGAGATGTGGTCAGTATGTTGTGTTCCAAGGTAAGGTGTCCATGGAGGAAGGAAATTCTGATGATTCCTTCCCAGCCATCTTTCTGACACTCTCTGATTGACTGGAAGCTTGTATGTTACAAATCATCTGTATATTCATCTGAAAGTAGTAAGTGCAATGAGTTTGCTTTTCTCTTATTTGATATCTTTCAGCCATATCTTCACATGACATCCAGAACTTCCTGCAAAAGCCAAGCATAGAAGCTTCTTTCCAAAAAGTGACGATGGGTAGATACAAAAATAGTGCCCTTGAAAATGTATACTTAATGACAGACCGGGACGGTGATAGGGAGAGGGAAGGGCATCAAGGATACCATGAAGGATGTAGCCCATCTGAGGCAACGGCATCTAATAAGACTCAAAATGACCCGAATAGTGAAGGATATAAAACATCGCTTTTTAAGTCAGCTGCTTCCACAAAGCAGTGTGTTTCTGTCAGCAAAAGCTCCATTCAAGTATTCAAACATAGCTCTTTGCAGAAAGACAGTTTGGACAATCTGGAAAGTTATCTAGTCCGTGCTGGAAACAATGATTGGAATCATTTTCAAAACGGGATTGGATTGACCTTTCCATCAGATACTTCTGAAAATCAGAGATTGAATAATGAAGAACAAAGTGCTAAGCGGAATCCATACGAGAGCGGCTCCACTGAGGAGTCGACCCTCTGGAATGACCAGAGCCCTTCCAATGGAGACAGCATTGCTCAGTACCCTGAATCTGAGAAAACACTTAACCAGGGCTGCAGTGTTCAGAGACGTGTGAGGACTCAGTTTTCAGAGAACCAGTATGAATGTTATAAATGTGGGGAAGTCTTTCATCAGAGGTCTAACCTTATTACACATGAGAGTATCCATTTGGGAGAAAATCCTGATGAATCCAGTCAGTGTGAGAATGGTCCTCAGCAGTCCTCCAATATTGATGATGATCAGAGAATTCATGAGGCCAAAAACCCATTCAGATATGCTAAACGTGTTCCCACATTTAGTCAGTCATCAAGACTAAGTAGAAACAAGATGATCCCTAGTGGAGAGAAAACACCCATTCTTAAGGGACGTGGTAAAGTCTTTGACTGGCACTCAACCCGATCTCAGCATCAGCAAATGAATACTGAAGTGAAATCATACAAATGTGAAGAATGTGGTAAAACCTTTAAGTACTGCTCATCCCTAAGGAAACATAGGCAAATCCAGACTGGAAAGAAACTCTACAAATGTAAAGAATGTGGCAAAGTTTTTAAAATTCACTCAACACTTATTCAACATCACAGAATTCATACTGGAGAGAAACCTTACAAATGTAAGAAATGTGGTAGGTCCTTTAACCAGCTGGAACACCTTACTCGACATCACAGAATTCATACTGGAGAGAAGCCTTACAAATGTCAAGAATGTGGCAAGGCCTTTAAGGAGCGCTCACGCCTTGATCAACATCACAGAATTCATACTGGAGAGAAACCTTACAAATGTAAGGAATGTGGTAGGTCCTTTAACCAGCAGGCACACCTTACTCGACATCACAGAATTCATACTGGAGAGAAACCTTACAAATGTCAAGAATGTGGCAAGGCCTTTAAAGAGCACTCATACCTTGATCTACATCACAGAATTCATACTGCAGAGAAGCCTTACAAATGTCAAGAATGTGACAAGGCCTTTTACCAGAGTTCATTGCTTAGTGCACATCACCGAATTCATACTGGAGAGAAACCTTACAAATGTAAGGAATGTGGCAAGGCCTTTAACAAGCGCTCACGACTTACTCGACAGCACAGAGTTCATACTGGAGAGAGACCTTACAAATGTCAAGAATGTGACAAGGCCTTTAAGGGTCACTCAACCCTTAGTAATCATCTCAGATTTCATACTGGAGAGAAACCTTACAAATGTCAAGAATGTGGCAGGGCCTTTCACCGGAGCTCATTGCTTACTGTGCATCACAGAATTCATACTGGAGAGAAACCTTACAAATGTAAGGAATGTGGTAAGGCCTTTAGCTGAACTTCAGCCCTTACTCAACATCACCGAATTCATACTGGAGAGAAGCCTTACCAATGTCAAGAATGTGGAAAAGCCTTTAGCCGGCCTTCACAACTTACTCAACGTCACCGAATTCATACTGGAGAGAGACCTTACCAATGTCAAGAGTGTGGCAAGGCCTTTAGCTGGCCTTTTGACCTTACTTGGCATCACAGAATTCATACTGGAGAGAAACCTTATAAATGTAAGGAATGTGGCAAGGCCTTTTCATTGCACTCAAACCTTCTTAAGCATCACAGAATTCATACTGGAGAGAAACCTTACAAATGCGAAGAATGTGGCAAGGCCTTTTACCAGCGCTCACACCTTACTAACCATCATAGAAGTCATATTGGCAAGAAAGTTTAAAAATGTAAAGACTAGGAGTAAGGACTGTAAAACCCTTACGTCACAGACCTTTCATCCAATGTAACTGGAGAATAACTATACACATCTAAAGAAGTCCACCCTCTCTCTCTCCTGAAACTCACAACATCGTAGTTATCATGTGGGAGCAACATCGTAAAATGTGATGAATGTGGTGAAACCTTTCACTGGAATTCAGTCTATACTCCGTGTCCCAATATGCACACTAGGTTCAAACCCTAGAAACATGATGATTGTGGAAAGACCCTCATTTTAATATACACGTTTGCAAACAAAGCACTAAAGAAGGTAAATTGAATCATACAAATAATTAGAAAACTCTCTGATTGAACATCTAATGTCAATAAATGTCACAGATATCACGTAAAAGGAGTGTATCAGTCCCTCTATTCAGACAGTACTTGTTAGTCCAAGGGAAAAGATCAAGTTAAACACTTGGAAAATGCATATGCTGTTACGTTGGAAAGATTCAGTGGGGGAGTTTTTACAAGGGTACAATTAGTTTCGGTGTGCCTTTTGTTATATTGAGCCTTTTTGAGGTTTGTGACCAACAAATATTAATGTACTTTATTCTCAAATCACTTCTGGAGATTGACTTACACGTACTGGGTGTATGAATCCGTGAGTCTGATTTTTGCTCCGTCAACGGCATTCGATGCCCTGCTGCACTCCGGGGGACTCACGCATCCCAGATTTTCCTTGGAAGATGAGAACTGTGTAATACACGACATGAACGAAGAAAATCTAAATGGAGACACTGCTTAGGGTTATAGCATTGATGTAAGTTGCCATGAAATAGGTGTTCAGAACAATATTTTTCTCCGTTTCCTAAAACTAAAGAACTTCCTTAATATTAGACATACAAGGTTTTCCTGATTGCTCTTTAAGGAAAAAAAGGTGGCGCACCAGTTAACTACTGATGTATCTTCGTAGTAGCGATCTTTAGAGAATAGGAGTGGATGTGATTGAAACGAAGAAATCCTCCCCGATAACAGAAGGAGGTCATCTAACTCTTCCCTACCATGCCATATAGCTGGACATACACATCTGTTGCGACTTTCAGCAGCACTGGAACTTAAGGAGGTCACATCCACATCGTGATATCAGCTATGGGGTTTAACGCTTGTATTCCGTATTTTGAACAAGTGTAACAGTGGATTTGAAATGCATAACATAGTCTATGTGTGAACTTAATGTACTTCAATTAATCAAACATAATGGTTTTTAATATGTTAACATGAGTTTATGATGAGTAGTGTGTTAACCTACCACCAAGGTGAACCTATCTCATTTTTTTTTTTTTTTTAAGATTTTATTTGACAGGGAACACAAGTAGGGGAAGAGGGAGAGGGAGAAGGAGGATCCCTGCTGAGCAGGGAGCCTGATTTAGGGCTTGATCCTAGGACAGGGACCATGACCTGAGCTGAAGGCAGGTGCTAAATGACTGAGCCACCCGAGTGGCCCCTATCTCATTTTACTGAAAGTTGTAGGCAACTGGTGTTATCTGTCACCTATTTGGTAATGGAAGGGAATAATATTCCTATGAATCCATTCCCTCAGTGACCTTAAGGTTGAAATGATGGGTGATTTCCCCGCCTGGTTTATCTAGTGTATCATTTTCTCCTCCTTGTGCTGACTTGTGCTGCTTCAGGATTCTGAGTTATGGGTCGCTGGAAGTTCGGCTATAGATAAAAGAAAGCTTCTTCCTTGTAAATCACTAGGACATTTGTGAACTGAGGAATACTCAGGTCTTGCAGGATTGTGATCTCTACAAGGTAACTATTTGTTTGTCCTTTAGGGTAGCCAGGAGTGCCTGAGGAATGTCCCATATATCCCATGGGGGGTGGGGGTTCATGGGGTGTCAGCTTCTGCTTCGTCCTCAGCTTGCCTTCTGTTCTCTCATCACCTAGACAACACTCTGTAGAGTCACAAGGTAAAGTAACTTGAGACATGACGTTCAGATCCACCTCTGTGGGCAATCCTCTGTCCCTTTTCCCAAGCATTTCCCATCCTGTGTTCTCCTAGAGAAGATGCCCACAGAGCTTACCTAAGCCGGCTTTAGTTTGAATGGCCAAATGTGGACTTGAACTGGGACTCTCAAGCACTCCACCATGACCCATAATAAAGGTATGTTCTCCATTTATTGATGGGAGTGTTGGTTTGAATGACATGTGCCCATGTGACCATGCTGCATAGGTAACAGATACCCCAGAAGTAGGAGAAACCTCCCAAATGGAGTGACACTGTAGCCCAGGTCACATATCAAAAATACGTAAAATGAAAAAATGAACATGTAGAGTGCAAATGTCTCTGTTGGGGTCCGTTATCAAAGGAATGAGACTGAGACAAAGTGAAAGTTATGCAAAGCCTTCTTTCTATGCCAAGCATTAGAAGTTAGACTGACCAGCCAGGGGACGAGACTGAGACAAAGTGAAAGTTATGTGAAGCTTTATTCTATGCTAAGCATTAGAAGTCAGACTGACCGGCCAGGGCCGCCTCCGAAGAGAGCGACCCCTTCCCGATCTCACAGGCTGGTTTTATAGGGCATAACCGTAGACCCAAGGTATGTGGCTTCTATTGTTAAGGCGTTTACTCCCGGAATCGATACCCAGAACCATACCAGGAACTACTGGGGCATTTATTCCCGGAATGAAGTCCGTGGATGTAAAGAACAATATGGCTACCTGGGCAATATGGAGTTGCTCTGGCTCAGCAGGCCCTAATAGTTAAACAGGTTTTAACATTAAATTGGCGCTAACATTCCCCCCCTTTTCTTTGGAGATTAGTCAATTCTTTGACTCTTCAGCCAGTTCTTGAGGGTGAAAACAGGCTGACCTTAGGTGTCGTTAACCTTGAGTGTTGTTCCATCTGCTGTTTTTCTGATTTTCGATCGGCCTGTTTTAGGCCAATGAGGTGTCCTCTGCCTGCTGCTGAGTAGGAACAGGGTTAAAAGTGACTAAGTTATGAAACCCTTTTGAGTCTTAGTTTTATTCCACAGTTAGTGGGGTCCACCGGCAGTGGCTCGCATTTCTGGGGGGTGTTCTTGTTTTCGGCTCGTGTGACGTGACATGACTGAATCCAGGCCCTCGTGCCTTCTACTTTTACTGCCGCGTGGGTGGTCAGGATGACAGTGAATGGTCCCTTTCAGCAAGGCTCCAAGTTTTCCATTCGGTGGTGACGTATCCAAACCAAGTCTCCCGGTTGGTAAGGACGCGGTTTTTTTTCCATCTCCATCTCAGTGTAGGCAGCTTGGATCCATGCGTGGGCTCTTTTTAAGACAGACTGTAGTGCCTGCAGTGCCTGGAGTACAGACTGATCAGTCATTTCTGTTAGGGCAACCTTTTGTAGCCATGGGCAGAGTGGAGGGGAGTCTCCTGAACATTATTTTAAACGGGTAAGCTTGTTTAAGTAGGGTGTACATCGTGCCCTAAGGAGGGCGATGGGAAGGAGATCCACCCATCCATTGCCAGTCTCCAGAATTAACTTTGTAAGGTCTCTTTAAGAGTCCGGTTCATTCTCTACTTGTCCGGAGCTCTGGGGCTGGTAGGCACAGTTTAGTTTCCAATTAGTGCCCATGGCCTTGGCCATTGCCTGTGAGACTGAACTCACAAATGCAGGGCCGTTGTCTAACCCGATCGCAAGAGGCAACCCAGACCTAGGAATTACTTCCTCTAGTAGCTTTTTGGCTACCATTCCTGCTGTTTCATGTTTGGCAGAAAAAGTCTCTACCCAGCCTGAAAAGGTATCCACAAAAACTAACATATATTTGTGTCCATACTTTCCCTGTTTCATCTCTGTAAAATCTACTTCCCAATAAATTCCTGGTTCCCTTCCTCTTTCTCTTTTTCCGCTTCCCATCCTACTTCCTCCTGCATTGACCGCCTGACATTGAGCACATCTATCAACCACGTCCTGAGCCATATGCCCTAATTTAGAAACCTGGAACTGTTTACCCACGAGCTCCTTAAGCTTGCGTGTCCCTAAATGAGTGCCCTGATGTATTTGGCTTACTAATTTTTTTTTTCCTAGTCTTCGAGGAAGAATTAACTCTTCTGCCCTAGTCTTAGCCCAATCCCCTTCATAGTCTAATTTAGTCCATTTTTGTAAATATTTTAAATCTTCCTCTGAATAATCTGTTCTTTCTGGTAGGGCTGGAGCCGGGAGTGTCACCAGTTCTTGAACCGTTTCCCTGGCTGCTTGCTTTGCTGTTCGACCTGCTAATTGGTTTCCTTTGGAAACCAGATTAGTCCCCTTTTGGTGTCCCGGGCAGTGCATAAGGGCCACCTCTTTCGCGTCCCAAATAGCCTGGAGGAGAGCCAATATTTCTTTCCTGTTTTTAATTTCTTTTCCTTCTGCTGTTAATAGGCCCCTTTCTTTATAAATAGCCCCATGTATATGGAGAGTAGCAAAGGTGTACCTGCTGTCCGTGTAGGTGTTGGCGGTCTTACCCTTGGCCATCTGCAGCGCCTTGGTGAGTGCAATCAGCTCTGCTTCCTGCGCCGAGGTCCCGTGTGGCAGGGCCGCCTTCCAGAGCTCCTGTTCAGGAGAAACCACCACAGTCCCTGCGTACCTCTTTCCATCGGCCACGTAGCTACTCCCATCTGTGAACAGAGTCATCTCCGCATCCGGGAGGGGAGTGTCTCTGAGGTCAGGCCTTATTCCTGTGATCTGGGTTAGGACCTCCCTGCAGTTGTGTGGGTGCTCAGCTAGCTTTTCTGGCAGTAACATGGCTGGATTTAGCACCGCTGGGGGCCTGAAAATCACTTTCAGTTCATTGAGGAGGAGGGCTTGATACCCTGTCACTTGGGCGTTTGTCATCCACCGGTCTGGTGGGGTCCAGAGGAGGCCTTTGATAGCGTGAGTAGTGGTCAAGATGAGATTTTGACCCAAAGTCAATTTACTTGCATCCTTGACCAGGAGGGCCGTGGCAGCAATTCTGCGGAGGCACAGGGAGAACCCGGCCGCTACTGGATCTAGTTTTT